AGGCCTGGGCAAGGGCAAGGACAAGAGCAAGGCGAAGGGCGGCGTTGGCAAGGACGAAAAGGGCGGCAAACTCTCCGAAATCGAGCAGCTCCGCTCGCACGTCGCCAGCCTCATGGCGAGGCTGGGCCTGCCCGCCGATCTGATTCCGACGCTCGGCGTGGACCAGCTGCGGCCCACGGTCGGCCACCTGGAGGGGATGCTGGCCCAGCGGTCCCAGTCGGGGTAACACCTCGTGCTCGTGGGGCCCGACGGCGCGTTGGCCGAGGGCCGGGAGGTCGGCGTGGTCGACCTCGTGGTCGGGAGGTCCTGGCTCCTCAGGTGGAGTCCAAGCCCCTCGCGGTCAGGGGTCCTGAGCAAGCCGCTGGAGGCACAGGACCCCTGCGGCCCGCGAGCGGCGTCGGTCGCCGGGGGCGTGCAAAGGGCGTCGACCCGCGTCTCCTCAATGCTCGCTGATCAGCCTCCTCCTGCTCCATAGGGAGCTCCGCCGAAGGCCCCAGTGCCCGCGCCCGCATGCGTCACCCACACCCATTTCGGCACACCCCTCACACGCTTCGTGGCTCCATAGGGAGCTCCACCGAAGGCCCCAGTGCCCGCGCCCGCATGCGTCACCCACACCCGTTTCGGCACACCCCTCACACGCTTCGTGGCTCCATAGGGAACTCCACCGAAGGCCCCAGTACTGCCGCCCGCATGCGTCAGCCAGACCCAATTCGGCACACCCCTCACACGTTTCGCGGCCCCATAGGAGCTCCGCCGAAGGCCCCAGTGCTGCCGCCTGCATGCGTCACCCACACACACAATTCGGCACACCCCTCACACGTTTCGTGGCCCAATAGTAGAAGCTCCGCCGAAGGCCCCAGTGCCGCCGCCCGCATGCGTCAGCCAGACCCAATTCGGCACACCCCTCACACGTTTCGTGGCCCCATAGGGAGCTCCACCGAAGGCCCCAGTGCTGCCGCCCGCATGCGTCACCCACACCCAATTCGGCACACCCCTCACACGCTTTCGCGGCCCCATAGGGAGCTCCACCAAAGGCCCCAGTGCTGCCGCCCGCATGCGTCAGCCACACCCAGTTCGGGGCACACCCCTCACACGTTTCGTGGACCCTATAGGGTGCTCCACGATAGGCACCCAGTGCCGCCGCTGCGATGCGTCAGCACAACGCCCAATTCCGGCATTCCTCCTTCAACGTTTCGTGGCCCCATAGGGAGCTCCACCGAAGGCCCCAGTGCTGCCGCCCGCATGCGTCAGCCACACCCAGTTCGGCACACCCCTCACACGTTTCGTGGCCCCATAGGGAGCTCCACCGAAGGCCCCAGTGCTGCCGCCCGCATGCGTCAGCCACACCCAGTTCGGCACACCCCTCACACGTTTCGTGGCCCCATAGGGAGCTCCGCCGAAGGCCCCAGTGCCCGCGCCCGCATGCGTCAGCCATACCCAATTCGGCACACCCATCACACGCTTCGTGGCCCCATAGGGAGCTCCACCGAAGGCCCCAGTGCCCGCGCCCGCATGCGCCAGCCACACCCAATTCGGCACACCCCTCACACACTTTCGTGGCCCCATAGGGAGCTCCACCGAAGGCCCCAGTGCCGCCGCCCACATGCGTCAGCCACACCCATTTCGGCACACCCCTCACACGTTTCGTGGCCCCAGCCCGCATGCGTCAGCCAGACCCAATTCGGCACACCCCTCACACGCTTCGTGGCCCCATAGGGAGCCCCACCGAAGGCCCCAGTGCCACCGCTCGCATGCGTCCCGCAGATTCATTTCGGCACCTCCACCAAACACAGCGTTTCGTGGCCCCACAGGGACCTCCACCGAAGGCCCCAATGGTGCCGCCCGCATGCGTCACCCCCACCCCAGCACAGCATTTCGTGGCCCCACAGGGACCTCCACCGAAGGCCCCAGTGGTGCCGCCCGCATGCGTCACCCCCACCCAGCACAGCGTTTCGTGGCCCCACAGGGAGCTCCACCGAAAGCGGCACCCGCAATGCGATATTCACAACTGCACATGGTTGGGTCCTTCGCCAGGATAATTTTCCCAACCATCCTGTGGTGTTGGGTCCTCGTTTTGAAGAGACGGTGCCCCGCGTTCCTCTCCTCTCCTCTCCTCTCCTCTCCTCTCCTCTCCTCTTCCTTCCCCCTCCTCCCTCGTGCCCGCGCCCGCATGCGTCAGCCACACCCATTTCCCACACGCTTTCGTGGCTCCACTCCACCGAAGGCCTGCATGCACGCTTTCGTGTTTCGTGGCCCCATCTCCATAGGGATGCGTCACACACGGCACAGGTGGCTCCATAGGGAGCTCCACCGAAGGCCCCAGTGCCCGCGCCCGCATGCGTCACCCACACCCATTTCGGCACACCCCTCACACGTTTCGTGGCTCCATAGGGAGCTCCGCCGAAGGCCCCAGTGCCCGCGCCCGCATGCGTCACCCACACCCATTTCGGCACACCCCTCACACGTTTCGTGGCTCCATAGGGAGCTCCACCGAAGGCCCCAGTGCCCGCGCCCGCATGCGTCACCCACACCCATTTCGGCACACCCCTCACACGTTTCGTGGCTCCATAGGGAGCCCCACCGAAGGCCCCAGTGCCCGCGCCCGCATGCGTCACCCACACCCATTTCGGCACACCCCTCACACGTTTCGTGGCTCCATAGGGAGCTCCACCGAAGGCCCCAGTGCCCGCGCCCGCATGCGTCACCCACACCCATTTCGGCACACCCCTCACACGTTTCGTGGCTCCATAGTGAGCTCCACCGAAGGCCCCAGTGCCCGCGCCCGCATGCGTCACCCACACCCATTTCGGCACACCCCTCACACGTTTCGTGGCTCCATAGGGAGCTCCACCGAAGGCCCCAGTGCCCGCGCCCGCATGCGTCACCCACACCCATTTCGGCACACCCCTCACACGTTTCGTGGCCCCATAGGGAGCTCCACCGAAGGCCCCAGTGCCCGCGCCCGCATGCGTCAGCCACACCCATTTCGGCACACCCCTCACACGCTTCGTGGCTCCATAGGGAGCTCCACCGAAGGCCCCAGTGCCCGCGCCCACATGCGTCAGCCACACCCATTTCGGCACACCCCTCACACGTTTCCCGGCTGCATAGGGAGCTCCACCGAAGGCCCCAGTGCCCGCGCCCGCTGCGTCAGCCACACCCATTTCGGCACACCCCTCACACGTTTCGTGGCTCCATAGGGAGCTCCACCGAAGGCCCCAGTGCCCGCGCCCGCACGCGTCACCCACACCCATTTCGGCACACCCCTCACACGTTTCGTGGCTCCATAGGGAGCTCCACCGAAGGCCCCAGTGCCCGCGCCCGCATGCGTCAGCCACACCCATTTCGGCACACCCCTCACACGCTTCGTGGCCCCATAGGGAGCTCCGCCGAAGGCCCCAGTGCCCGCGCCCGCATGCGTCAGCCACACCCATTTCGGCACGCCCCTCACGCGTTCCGTGGCCCCATGGGGGGAGCTCCGCCGAAGGTCCCAGCGGGTGTGCCCGCATGCGTCCCGCACACCCATTTCGGCACACCCCTCGCACGTTTCGCGGCTGCATAAGGAGCTCCGCCGAAGGCCCCAATGCCCGCGCCCGCATGCGTCAGCCACACCCATTTCGGCACACCCCTCGTACGTTTCGTGGCCCCGTAGGGGGGCTCCACCGAGAAGATATTCACAATTGCAGTATTCACAATTGAATATGGTTGGGTCCTTCGCCAGGATATATATATATATATATATATATATATATATATATATATATATTATATTCATATATATATAATGGCATTTATCAAGCCTACAGATCCAGCACAATGGGGGCGTCCGCATCGTAAGTGACGTCCGCGACAATGGAGAGGGCGTCGGAGTAATCCGGGGCGTACCCAGCAGGAGCTTCTGCCGTGGGGTCTACCGCATCGGCCATATCTTTAGCTTCGTCAGCTCCATGCTGGTCGTCTTCTCCTGGTTTGGGCGAAGCAGCTTTCCCCGCATTGGAATCACGGTTGAATGTATTTCAATAGCGGTCAGGTGAAATATTCTTCTATGTCTTAATATATTGAAATATGTTTTGGGCTGTAGCTTGTTCGTAGTCGTCTTCCGTCAACTGCTCGTTGTATGGCGTTGTATTTGGATCGGCGCAATAACCCCTACCATTGCCGT